AAAGACCACTGAAGTTTAAACATATTAATAGCTTTTTCCTATGAATGAGTGAAAAGAAAGATGTGACTTAGGCAACATCTGCATTTTTCTCTAAATTTATACTGCCACTTAGGTCTCCAGTGCCTATTATGATGGTACAGCTACAGGTCATTGTAGGAGCATTGATCCAAACAAAAACAACAGTGAGAGAAGCTTTGTTTCATATACATTTAGCATCAGACATCTTCCCTCATTTGTGCATTAATCAGTAACAGACATAGCTGAGCATCCTGCTACAGGAGGTGATTTGACTTTCGCAAATTTCCCTAAGAGCAGAAACATCATCAGGAACAATTTCAAGGAAATAATTATGGTCTAGACAGATTTATGACTTCTAAAGACCTAATCCAAAGCACATTAATGTCAGTGGAAGGACTCCCATTGACATCAAAGGCCTTTAGATCAATCCCCAACTGCTGTGGGAATGAATTCAGAGCAATAATGATGGTGGACTAAATGCACACTTGCAGTTGAAATGTTACCACCCAGACCTTTTTATTCCTCAAATCAGATTAAAAAGTCATTTTCTGCTATTTCACAATTACTTCCAGATGCGCATCATCTCAAATGGCATTTTCATCCATCTGTATGAACCAAGCATGCATAGAGATAGAGAAGTTCTACGCTGCCTGAACTAATAATACAAATGAAAACCACAAGGGAAAATAATTTTGGAGGTGATGAAGTTCATGTTTTAAACGTGGAGTGAGAAACCTCGGAATCCATTTATTCCTTCTAACTACTTTGGGATAAAGCTGCCAGGCCCACCACTTCTTTATTTACTGCCACAGTAGATTTCTTCTAATTAAATTTTCAATATTTTTCTCTAGTCCCCTAAACAAAACAAAAGAATACACATAAATCAGTGTTAACCTCAAACTTGGCAGCCTAAAAACTGTCAGAAATATCAACTTCATATACTCTCTGCTTAGTAACAGCTCTCCTGTCCCTTCTGTCCTCTTAAGCATCTATTTACATGCTAAATAATTTGAAGCATCACTCTTCTCTGACCATGTTAATCTAGTTTCATTCCTTAGCAGCCAATAACATTTTAGATTGTGAAATGAAATGCCAACGTTGTGTGCTAGTGGAAACTCATTCAAATTTTTACACAAATTCAACTCCAAGATGTGACTGATCAGTCGTCAACATCGTGCATTACTCTGAAGTGCATGCTATGGGAATCACACATCTTTTATTCACTCCTCTAGCAATACTTTGGTTAGGCAGGTTCAGTTATCACATATTCATTGTGATATGAGCATGTAATGGACTGATTGAACTCTGCCTCACCAAATTAGTTTTAGTAAGTTTGAGAACTTTCTATAGGAAATTATATGTGACACTTTTTTTGTCAAATAATGCACATTTCCTAGCATAACTCCATCTTTCAGTACCTAATGAATACCTGACCTATTACCTAAGTCTCTGTACCCTTCTCTGCACTTCAGAAAACAAGATATTTTTTTGTCCTTCTTCAGTTACTATACGTGTGGGAAACCAGATCATTAGTGACTGGGTAATGCTACTACCTAGATTCAAAGAGTAATGAGCCAGAGAACAATTAATTGTTGGTTTGGGGTTGGTTGGTTTGTTTGTTTTAAACAAATTGATGCTGATCACTGGTTACTAAGAGCATCTGAATGGGAAGGGAATTCAGGTTGACAGAGGAAGGCAATACTGGCTAAAAGTATCCAAGGAATTAAAATGGTTCAGTTCATACATTTTCTGGGCTATACTTGTAATGGAGATTGTGCTTTAGGTATGTCCTACCCACCACCTGTGTCACAAGGAGTTATTTTTAACATGGTTTCCTTATGAATCAAAGCCTATGTGAACAGACTGTGTACGTGTGCAACTTTCATACCCTCTGTCCATATCTAATAACTTGGGACTCTCTTGGCCAATTCAGGCCAATCTGCAGAAGGGCAAAAGTCACAAAGTCATTAAATTCTTAAAAGCTTTATGGAAATAGGTGTCCAGCTAAAGGGGGAATCCTATTATTACCCTAAATCAGGGCCATCAAAGAATCACCCTGGCATTCATCCTTCAGCTGCAAGTACACAGGAACTGCTCAGGAGACTACCTTTTAATCTAGTGCTGTTGCAATATTTTCTTCCATGAAAGATTAACTCAGTGTATTTAATACAACAGACACTAGTAAGCCTCTCAGCTTACTCTAAAAACATTTTTTCGAGAGACACCAAAAGCAGCAACATACTTTAGTCATGACTTGGCACCATCTTTTAGATGAGTTCACACTTCAGTGCATTTTGTTATCAGAAGCGCGCAAGAACATTGCACCTGGAATATACGGACTGGAAAAGTCTGAGTGCTTCAATTCAAATTTGCTGACTTTCATTAGTTTGACACCAATAAAAAAACTATTCCACCAATTCTCAAAGGTAGAAGGCAACCCATGGGAATGATACATGCAAAACCCCTTAAGCATTAAAATATGTGTAAATTATGTTAATAGGGAGCTGCCCAAGGGGGAAAAAAAAAAAATATTAGTCAGGGAAATAACACATTTAAGAAAGTTAAATTATCAAGATTATAATTTCAGGGATATGAACTTCTCCAGCACCAAACCATGTCATTACTACCATATTTCTTTTTCCATCTTTATATCTTATCGGCGTGAATATACACAGTAGATAACAACAGACCCTTGAATGAGGTAAAAATAAGAAAGTACCTTCGCTGGTAATACTGAACTTCTCTACCAGGGAAATTTTGTCTTGGCTTTATGTGCACCTTTAATGCCATTCCTCTTCCCCTGCTTTCACCCCAGCTCTTTATGATTTTTAATGCCTTTTCAACATGTTCAAGGCAAAATTCAGTTTGGCCAGCTGTTGGCTGCTTCAAGTCACATGAGATGACACAGAACTACACACTGCTTTTATAACTGAATACGTAGTTTAGACAATTTGCTGGATTTTGAAAGGGTACATTAGCTTTACTGGGGTGCGTTAGGTAAGGTGAGACAGTCCCCGTTTCCCTATGAATATATTACAAACGTAACCAGACGACTCCTAGGTCAATGATTCAAAGCAAACTTACACACTACGAAAAAATCAGCATAACCATATGAACATATACATAAACCAATATATTAAGTATACTTTTCTTCAAGGACAACAAGTCGTGGTATTATTTTTATAATGAAAACATTGGAAAAAATTTCAGTATCAGCTTTTTAAAAACAATTTAGAACACCAGTGTAACTCGTTTGAGAGCTATGAATGTACGTTACTTTGAAGTGATGATTCCCTATTAAATGCATTCCTTCAGAGCAATAGAAAGCATTTGCTCCTAATGTTGCCTCCCTCCACATTTCACATCTATCAATTAAAATGAAGTCAGAGAAAACATTTTGGTTTTTAGTTCCACATTCAAGGAGTATAGTACTGACATATCAGGCAATGCAGTTACTTCACGAAAACATATCTTTAGCCAGAGTGGCAAAGCCAAGATTTACAGCACGATGGTAAGAAACACGCTACTCATTTCCCCTTTCCTTCAGACTACAGCCATTAGGGTGCAGGTGACACTTACGGCAGAGGAAGGCATACAAGCAACCACCAGGACTATTGCTCCCGTGAACACTGCTTTGACATCAGCGGACTGAATATGGTTAAGTAAAAAATAATTTCCTCATAAGCCAGGTGAACTCCTTCCCCATTTTGTTATTACTATCCAGAAAATTTGTGATGAGAGAGACCGCTGCTCTCCTCGTCCTCATTCCATATTTCTGCAGTATTTTAGGGTATTTCTGAGCCTGTCAAGACTCTCCCTTGACTCAAATCCTAGCAATACATGCTTGTGGTACATAAATATTTGTTTATGCAAATATATTTTAATTCAAACATTTAATCTTGCCAGGTAAACACAAGAAAGATAATGCTGATATACTTTTCACAGAAGACTTAGCTCACGGTTTTAATTTCCTTTTTATTAGCTTACCTCACTTGATGAAAACATTAACACATTTTGAAAAGTACGTTTAATTTTCTGTTTTCTCAAGAAAATGCTTTGTTGCTACCACCTCATTAGAGTCATCAGCTTTTAATTGGAACAAGTTTTAAATTTAAAGAAGCGATTGAAAAAATGGTGCTGATGTGTCACGGCAGTACTTTAAATGCTCACTTGCTCATATCGAAAGTTGTTTTTATGCTGAATATCAATATGCAATTAGAAAGAGATAATGTAAGTAGTGCTGGGCCTCTGCAGAGTACTCTTTCAGCATTTGTAAGCTCCCTCCTTGTTTATGCTGCCAGAGTCTACGAAACAACTCTCATGTTGACACAAACAAGCAACCAAAATGAATGGCTATAAATACAGTCAAAGCAAGAGATAGCAATAAGCAGAACAACTAAGTCCTCATTTGAATATGAAACAGTATTTCTGAGTGAGCACCATGTGATTAACCCGCTGTATGTGGGGTCAATATGATTTATTCTCACAGCTCTGCAGCCAGTCTTAGCCCTGGGCCTCACTTGCTATCAAAGACACAAGCCTTCCTCCCATCAACCCTCCCCTATGTCTAGCTAACACTCTGAGCTCTTACTTAGGAAAATCAACTATCGTGTCTTTCATTTAAATTATTTCCACCCCTGCTTGGAAATAACTGTTAGCATAACGGACAGTTTACCAAGTGTGCTTTCTAGTCTCCAGTTCATCTATCTGCTGCCTGCAATGCTCCTGCAGCCTAAGAGCAGATCTTGAAAACCACAGACAGGGAAAACAAAGGAGTACCTATCTTGCCTAAATTCTGATTATTGCTAGAACGGTACTCTCTTGGCCCAATACCAAAGAATAAAAAGCAGTAGCCCATTACATTTTAAGACAATCAAGTGGTTCAAAATAGAGGGACAGTACTGGCTTTGGTTCAAACATTTAACAGAAACTCCACATTTCATTTAAAAAAGCTACTTTTCTTGGAGGGACGAACCTCTTACCTTTTGTAGCTATTCGAACACACTGAGTTTTGGTTTCCTGTTGAGGAGGGAAAAGTAAAGAAAACAGTCAGATCAGGTTGTTCTTTCTTGCCCTCCCCGTTCCATAAATTCATCCGAGATCTGCCGATCAGCTGGGGCAACCCAACAAGGTGGCTCAGGGCTCTGGACTTAGCAGGAGAGAAGAGGCTGAGTGATTTTGCCTTTACAGAAGCTGGATGAAATCTAGACATTGATCTGTACTATCCAGGATAACAATGGGGAGAAAAGGTGCAGGACAGCCCAGATGTAGCCAAATTTCAGATTATTCAAATCAAATGGAAATCATGCCATAAGAATACAGAGAGAGGGTGCAGTGGAAGAAAAGGGGAGGACTGGTGCTCCTCTTTATTTCATGGCACAGAAATCCTGAGCCAGTGTTGACCTTCAACAGCACCATGCAGCAAAGAAGAGTACATTTCTTCAGCGTGTGTCCAAATTAACTTGTCTTGCTGCATCCTGATGGTCTTGAACAGTCACCTGAAGCATGTCAGCAACATGTTCCCACATGCTTCTGAGTGTGGAATTAGCAGAGAAGCAGCCCAGGTATCCCTTCACATACAACACAGTTAATCTACAACCTATATAATCTGCCCAGGAAAGACAGTGATTTGACAGTCATGTGCTTCGGAAGAAGTTGCACGTGCAAAGACAATTTTTTTGTTTTTTCTTCCCCCCCCCCCCGAAGTTTGGTCAGCAATTGAAACAAATGAACAGAGAAATGACTTGGTTATGCACAGTTTGGACAACTTGAACAGACGAGGGTCAGTCACAAATGGGTTTTCTGACCTTTTTGTACAACGTGCAGACATTTTAAAGGCAAACATACTGAAATAGCATGGTTGCGTGAGAGGATGCAGCTGCTGCTGTATTAGATCACTCTAAACAATATTAGCATGTAATTAGAAAATATAATAATGGCAGTTTCATTCTATAAAATATGCTCCCTCTAGTCCTGAACCCCACAGCACTCCATCCCCGAATACATCCCCTGGGATCTCTCTCTTCTTGAAGATTCCCAAGCAACAGGTAAAATATGTTGATGCTGTTTTGTAAACACAGCTTGTAAAGAATGAGAAAAGCTGTGAGTTGAGATTTCCCGTAAGTGTTCCATAAAGACAATTTCTCAATCTAAATGAAAGCCCTGCAAAGTTTATCGATATAATCTTACCTAATTAGCATTCTCCCCAGTTACTGGATTTACTTGTCCACTTTTGATCAAAATGTCTGTGACGATCACAGAGTAACTTTCATCCCAACCCTATGGTGTATTTCAGAGCATACTTTACTTCCCTTTGACTATTTTGGTAAGCCCACTGCTTTATAGTAAAGCACCTGTTTAAATATTCTGCAGCTCAGAGGTTATCTTACAACCACTAGATCTCTGTCCTGGCAGAATGCAGTGCAGTCCACCCAAAACCTCCCCCCACATCCCTCTACGAACAGAAATCTGATCCAAAGTTTTAAATCATACCAGAAAAAAAACCATTTTAGGATTAAACTCTCTCACGAGTTGAAATCACGTTAAAGTGAAAAATAACGTGTTCTTCCCTCATCTACTTATCTGTCAAAATGTAAAAGCCAAAATAAAGATTATATTTGTATTTAATATTTTTGTTTTTCTTTTCACTCCCATTTATTTCTTGGGGAATGAAACAAATTTCCTTACAACTTAGTCAGCCGGAAGCCAACAAAAGCAAAGGGAATATATGTAGCAGGTGAGGGAAATATGAACGAGTGACTAGCAGTTACCTTTTATTTTGCTTTGTTTGCTTCATACAGGTCTATAGATAAGAACTAGGAAGAGGGGATGGTCTCTTCATTCAGAAAAAGCCTCCAGTTCTCAAGCAGCTCCAGTACACTTTCATCAGCTCCTGCTTTTTCCCCATTCTGACTTGATGCGTATGCAATTTTCATAACTATTGGTAGAAGGTGAGATTTTCTTCAAAAGGCTCCAAGGCAAGGCTGCCTGTTAGCTAGGGTTTGTTTAGTCACCGCAGAGACCCAAACGTAAGGAAGGGTAAACATGGCTTCTGCTCCTTTCCAATGGCTCTGGTGAGTCTCGGCGGCTATCGATCTGGCTGTTCTTTCTAGCTCCTCTCTGACCTGCCTGGACACTTCCTATGGAGATTCTTATGGACATGTTATTGCAATTTCCTTCAGATTTCTAAACTAGAAATCAAAAATTTAAATTTTTAAATATGTGAAGCTTCTGTGCCTACCATCTTTTCCCTCCTCACCGATGATTTCCCCCTCCCCCATTTTTCATTTATGAGAGGAAAAACCATTCAAGAGCAACAGCACGGGGCTTGCAGAGCCACAGTTGTTCTTCCCACCTGGAACCTCCCTCCCTGGCACTCTTCCCCCTTCCATGTGCATAAAGCCAGCAGCAGTACTCAGCAACAGAGTTAAAAATGAAACACCAAGGAGGCAATGAAGGTGAGCAACAGCCATACTCTTACTATTGCACAGCAGTGGAGCAAGCCTCAAGTCCACCTTTCCAGAAAGGCTCTTGAAAACACACCGTGGACCTGGGGTTACTTTTGCTCAAGCAAATTTTTACTTTTTATTTGACGTTCAGTGTGAGAGTCTCAAAAAGTTTCTAACGTTTTATTAGCCTGCTGAGCAGCCCACGTTCTGTTTATCCCGTAGTAATTTAATCTTCTGAAGTGCACGAGTACTGAGAATTGGGGAAAGGGCTGTGGATGTTATTTACCGAGGAGGCAGAGCCACAGCACTGAAATTACTTTGCCGAGATGATTACTACAAGATGTATTAAACTCTCGTCTAGTAGCAGTTACTATGATACAAAGGCAGTGTGAAATGTGAATAGCACGCTGCCATGCTGCCACAGCACGGAAGGGATTACAGCCGTGCCACTGCCAACACCTAACTACGCCCAACTTCGACACTCCTAATTGTCACCACGGGCATGTCTTTGACTCCTTCCAGGAGAAAGGTGTGGTTGGCGCTTACCTTCTCAACGCTACTCATGGCCTGGAAATAGATGTTGTAGCCTTTCCGAGGAGCCAGCGGCGGGTTCCAGAAACCCTGGTAAGTCCTGTTGTCACCCACGGTAAAGGGGGCTGGCTCCGGCAGGTTTCCTGGGGGCAGCTCAGCAGCAAAGTAATACGGCGAGCCTCCACTAAGAGCCGTCTGATAGGTGACGGGGATTTGGTAGCACTCCATGGCACCCGTTTCTCGCTTCGTTCGGTGCGGGTGCAGCTCCTCAACAACGATCTGGTAGGCACTAGTGAAACAGAGGAAGATCAGCATACCTTTAAGGTCACCTGCTAGGGTCAACTCCCTAGTCTCATAAAAATATTAACCCGATTGCTTTGTGAAACTTAAAAAGAAAAAAAAAAAGAAAAAAGGAAAAGACAGCAGATGCATGGATGCAGAGGAGAAACAAAGGCTTGAAATATAGCAAAGCTGTCTAATTCAGCCATTGGAAAGAAGCAGCATCCATTTTTTTCAGGAAAAACAACAATACAAATCTATACATAACCTCCTAACAATGACTATTCTTCTTTTTTTTTTTTAAGTCTTTTTTCTTTTGAAGAAACATATGAATGAATCTGACTTTAAACTACAATAGATTAAATTCTTGGCTAATTGGAAGCATCTGAAGTTAGCATTTCCCTTTGAAACAATATTAGAGAAAGCTGAGCTTCAAGGCCCAACACAATGACTGCCTCCAGGCTGTGCCTGAAGCACCAATTTGCAGTTGTCATATCATTAAGAGACAGAATGTGCTGACAGGCTTCTCCACCTCTTGACCTTGCTGTGGCTTCTATCTTGGCTCAGAGCTACGCAGATCTAAAGTACAAGCGACATGCTGTAATACAAGCACAGATGGACAGAAATCTGTCCATTCTACCAAAATAGACTGTCTCATTCCTCTACAATTGTCAATGATAAAACGTTACAAATTGCTCAAGCAGATGGCATTTGGCCTATTAAAACGCCATCCCAACCTCCCAATACTTCTCTTGAAATGGTCCATGCCTTGGTCACTTTTCAAAATCACCTGCTCAAAATAGAACAGGTAATTATAATTCTTCTTTCTCCTTTAGGGGAACTACCTAACTGCAGGATGTTACCAACTCATTATCAGCTTCCTCTGCTCTGCGGAAGTACAGAACTTACACGCTGAGGACAGGAGGCAGTTCTTCAGTTTATAAGAAAAAAAGAAAAGAAAAAAAGAGTTTTTTTGATTTTAAGAAATATATGTATGCATACGTACCTATACACACACATGTATACATGCACACAATTTCTCATTTATATGCAGATACATTTGAGGGCCTTATGAAAGAGTAGTAAGAAAATATGCCTAAGCATGTAGACAAGACCTGAAGCTACTCAATTAAACTGGCAGAATTGCCTGTCTTGGTTTTGTTTTAAAGATTTCTAAACAGAAAAAGTAAAATTGAAGAGGGTTCTGGAAGCATCACTGCATTGCTGCAGGGACTCTGAAAGGCAAAGGCAAAGACAATCCTCCTCATTTCAGAACTTATGGGGCAGCATTAAATTACTATGTCAATTTTCTCTGCTACTACTGCCCAAAAAACCCAATAACTGTAGTGGCAGAGATGAAGTATGATACTGGGGAATGGAAGAAAGGAGAGAAGAAAAAAATAAAAAATTAGTTTCACGTCTTTCTAGAGCTGAAAGAAGTTAGCATCCCCTCTTCCTAGCACCTAAAAAATTAAGGAGGAAAGCCTCTTCCCTTTCAGAGTGACCAAGAGGAATAGAAAAAGTCACCTCATTTTTGAAACTCTAGGTAAAAAGAAGGACGTAAACAAAAAAATGTAAGTTAGTTCCAGGGATCTCTGTTTTTCATAAACAGCCTGTGAACTGAGCTTGGTTATAAATCATCTTCTGTGGTAACCTCTATGTATTAACCATGTCCAGTTAATGCGGCCCGCACCAACAAGTCACTTCCACAAGACCCCTGCGCACCCAGAATCTTTCTTTACGCTTCAAAATTGACGTACTAGCAAAAAAACCCCTAAAAGCACCAATACTTTACAAACCTGACAGGATGCAAAATATTTAAAATAATTTTTGTTTATAATGTCCCAAGGGACCTCCCTGGCCTGGCCCTCGACCCAGGCAGGGTTAAAACCACCGCTCCCGAACTGGGCAGCCAGCTACAACTGGAGAGTGCTGGGAGCAGAGACACCGCCTCTCTGCTCCCTCCTTTCTCTCGTGAGCTGCCAAAGGACTGGACCAACACAAATTCTGCTCTCTGAAGTGCCAGGAGAGCAGGAAACTTGTCATCCGCGACACCCTGCCAACTTAGGAGGAAAAAGCCAGCAGGGAGAGCGGAAGGACAGCACAACGTCTGCAAGCGACAGAGGCAACCGTCCCCTGGAACAGCCTGGTTTGTCACGCAGCTCAGAAGCTGAGATCCACCACAGCTTCCAAATTAACCCCCTTGTTTCCCATTTCACAAAATAAAGGGTAAATGAGGTATCTTTTTTTTTTTTTTAAGGCACATATTCTTTTTAAGGGGCAAGTCTCTATGGGGACAGAAACAAACCAAAAAAATCAAAGATGAAGGGCATGGGAGTTAAATACTGAGATAAATATTAGGTAAGTCCCTTTTAATAGCATTCTTCAAAAATATGTGGTAATTTTTGAATCTGATATAAAAGGTATGGCAAAATTTTAAGCATGAGATCACAAGAAAATGTGAATGTTCTGAAATATTTTCAAATAATTTACATAAAGTATGCTCTCATTTAAATAAAATATGCTTCAAAAAATAATGCTTTTTGGGCCCCTATATCTGAAGCTACAAAACATGCAAAATAAGAAATAGATATACACATTGCAGCTGTCTGCATTTATAAACTACTTTTAGTTAAAGGAAGAATAGCAAATGTCAGAAAGTCTTTAAAGTCTCTAACGAGGCTTTTTGTTTTTTTTTTATTTTTATTTTTTAATTTTCATAAAGTATCTTTTAAGTAAAAGATGTGCCTATCCTCTTTGGAATGGGGATCTGACAGTATTTTTCATGGTACATTATAGGCTAACAAGACACGGAGGAATACAGTCATTTACCTCTCGGCCCTTTGTGATACCATCTGTTTAAGCCTATTTACTAACACTACAGTGTCTCCAAAGCAGCACTGTTACTCTATGTACACATAAGAGTGTTCGGAAAGGACACCCTGCTGTAAGATGTGAAGAGAGAAGCCAAAATCTAAATTTGCAACTTGAAAAGCGGTGTGTTCACTGGCTGCAAATGTGGTCTGATATCAGGCTACAAGTGAAAGTTTAAAGGCTATGTACTCTGCTTATCCTTGCATTTTTACATATTACTAATCCTAGCTTCAATTATCTTATGTTTTCTACACATTTTTTGTGTAACGGTGGGAATTCAATTATTGAGAGAGCTTGCTTGTGACTGGAGCTGAGGGAATTCCTACAATAGTTATTTTTTTTTCCAGTCTTCCCATACAGCGAAGGAGGAATAAAAGAGAGAAAGAAAGGGAGGGGTGGAAACCTAGATGACAGTATTCCTTCTCCCTGATGACTAAAATAAGTTCTGAGCTATTCTGAAGAGTAATACAGACTTCAGAAGCTTCTACGTAAGTTGCCGGGATCATAAAGGCCAAACAGTTGCCTGAGACAGTCAGGTAAGCGGAGAAAATGTTGAAGATATAACAGGTGAAGAGCTCCTCTGCTGAGATTTTGCATGAGGAAATTATTTTTGATGTCAAAAACCTTTTTCTTTTACTAAAGAAAACCTGCACAGAACCTCCCTATTGACAAAGACGATTACAAACAGCCTAAGCAGGCCCCTGCCAACAGATCCTCCTTTTTACCCCTCCCTAAAAACTCAGGCTCTCAAACAGGTACTGCAGTGGTGAACACGTTGTTCATACTTCAGCCCTATTCTGACTGGGCTTTAATATCAGCTAGAGATTTCCTTCCACACACCTAGTGGACACACAGCGTCCTCTCCTTTGACAGGTGCCAGACTGACTGACAGCTCAAGTTATAACCTGAGCTCTTGAAAGTCCAACTGACAACTAAGTTTAGTTGCTTCCTGCCACGGTCCACTTAATCAGTCTTTTTGTAAAATGAAAACAACCTGATTTTGCATATGGAGGTATAAGAAAAACACATTACCAATCAAATAAAATAAATTTCATCATTAAACAGTTGTCTATGCTGATTCTGATATAAGCGCTTCGTAACCCTCATCTGCAGTAGGATTTGAAAACAAAAGACTGTTTTGCTGGTGCTCAGTTAGGATCCTTCAGAAAAACTACAGTGACAAATCACATCTTCAAATGAATCACTGAAGCACCATTGATGCTACTGGCTGGGATCTCATCCATGAGATTGATGGTGAAACAGTACGCGCTTCACAGTGAGCCTGAGCCATCCAGCCCTGTCTCCCTTTGCATTTCTAGTCTGTAATTTTGTTTAAAACTCCAGGAGGCCATAAAGAATGCTAGAAATTACACAATAACACTTGACAGGGAAGTTATGATTAGAGTCATGTTTGAACTGTGACAACTAGTGTCTGAAAGAAATGATTGACAGCTGCACATAGATTACACTTGAGTTAAGGAACATCTGTTTCCTGGGGGGCTGTGTTGATGGAGAGGCTGAGGTACAACAAAATCTGATCATAGTATAATTCTGTTTGTAAAAGCAAAGAGTATCAGACTAAGCTTTTTTTTCCCTTTTCTAATTTTTTTTTTTTTTATAAAAAACATGGACCTACTGCTATTACATAAAATAATATTTTGACCATCTACAGCTCCAGGGATTAAAGGACTGGGTGCAAACAAACCTTTTCAAAAAGCCAACTGTATTCTTCAGTGTCAGGCCTAAGAACAGCATTTGATTCCCTTCTACTCAATCACAGCTGCAGGCACCGTAATGCATTTTTTCCCACCTACCTAGTAACACTCATTATGGCAGCAAGCCAGCTTGTAGTGGAAACACAACTGCAGTGTGGATGGAGCGAAGCTTCACTAAAATGCATCATAAAGTTTAGCGAAATGCATTGAATCAATTCAGAATTTCAGTGTGCTACATTTATCTCCCCTGTTAAGAAGCTGCTGAAAAATACCTGTCTGCAATATGCATAACTTCAGGAAAGGGAACGGGACCACGTCTTCTGCATTCCCCTGGAGAATGCTCCTCATTCAGAGTAAGGAATAAAACATCCATTTTGTTTTAAAAATAAAGCCCAGATCTCCAGTTATGGTGGAGGACTTAACTTCCTTGGCCCCCTGATGTTAGAAATCTAATGTACTCTCTTAGGTTTTAGAAATTAATTAAAGCGGAGAGGGAAGATAGGAGACAGGAAGAAAGATGTACGCTTTTTTGAGAACCTACTCAAAGAACAGTTGTTAATACTCTATCAAACTATCCCTATCAAACTATCTATTAACATTTAGTACATAGATCCTTTTTGCCACCTTCATAGGCCACAGTGACAAGCTCATGCCATAGGACTGAGGATGCTGTAAGGAAAATTGAGAGGCAAATGTGAGGTGGTGTGCTGCAGGTTCACTCTGCAGTGAGTTACTTGCCTGCCAGTACAGTGCAGAGAAACCAGAGCTCCCTGAGCCAGGGACGAGTAATCCTCTAGCTGCATCCCATCACGTTACCAGTTTGCGAAAGAAAAGCCCCAAGAGAGAAACCCGGGATTCACCCTCAGGGTGAGTGGCGGGACCGAAGGCGGGAGCCCGCTGCTGTCTGCGCAAACGTGCCACAGACCAGTTGGCGTAGAGAAGATGAGCACCACCAGCAGCAGATCCCAGTGGTGTCTGGCAGGCACGCTCTGGACGAGCCTACGCACCAGCCCCCTCGGGGGACCAGGTGCAAGACTGAAAGGATTTGGCACGGATTAGATGAGAGAGGGATATCACATTTCTCAAATACGGACAGCTTTGGATGTGGCCAGCAGCAGGACACCGGGAAAGCTTTAAAAGCACCTACAAAGGCATACAGTGAGTTTAAGCACCTGCTTAACTTGGGAGCATTTTCAGATCACAAGTCTGGTTTCTACTGCATCAATTCAACAAAAACCCTATTTTAGGAATCCAAGTCCTGTACTGAATGTAGTCCTCTATATTTTATCATTCTTCACACCCAAAATATTCCTAGGTTTGCTCCAGGGCAATCTTTCAGAAACTAATGATGTATGGGCTTACAATTTCATTTATGAATACAACACATCAATATCTCCTATAAAGGCGATGAATCTGGATTATCTTCTACGACAGAATATAAATAACTTGATCATATCAATCATAAGGGTGACTATACTATAAGCATATAAAAACGCTTATAGGTATGTGACTCATCCCCACAACATCCAAGTAAAGCATACATTCCTCTGAATGGAAACAGACTTAAGAAACAGTTAATTTTCCTCTTCTTTGAGGGCTCAGGCACATTACTCAACATCAGCTGAGCCGCGGTAACCGACTTAATGCAACACAGAATGAAATGCATTAGCCTGTATTTCTCTAAAATGTCACAAGGGTAAGAGCATGAAAAGGTTCTGATGCTCAGTAGCTAATTAACCCCCAATTAGTCAACCCTGTCCTTGAATATCGCTGATGCAGCCACATCAGTAAAAGACAAATGGAATCAAATAATATCACAAAATCTTTGCACTAACAAGTAGAAGTAAAGAGCAGGATGTGGACTAATCTTTGCAAACAGAATTAAATTATCTCTCAATAGAGAGCAGAAAGGGAAAGACCCCTCAAAGTTAACATAAATGACACATTTTAATATGATTATGGGACACGCCAAATAAAATTTAATAGCTTGCTACATGATTTCTAGTAAGAAGCACTCAGAGGAAAAAGGTCAAATAGTTTGCATTCATCACTATTATTCTCCCATTTCCTCTGAGCTTCCAATTTTCCAGTCATACATATATGCTACAGAATAGCTGATTTGAAGCACTGGAGAGGAAGTGTTATTTTCAAATCCACTTTCTGACAAACACCTTTCAACCTCATATTTCAGAGAGCCTGTGAGAAATTAAATGAAATTATAACGGATAGGAGGTGGTCCTGGGGACCCTAAATCAAACAGGACAGACAGTTGGATGATTCAGGTCATGAGTATCTTTAAAAAAAAAACCCCAAAGAATTTTTTCTTATTAATTACAGATCTATTGGTAAACTCAGTCTGGCTAAGAAAAACAATAGTAATGTCAAATGAATTTCACTTGGAAATGAACAGCTTTATGAGCTGCGAGACAGCATATAATCAACTGAAAAATCTCTTCTTGATTTTTTAAAAAAATTTTCTTTTCTTTTTTTTTTTTTTTTACCTGATAGGTGCACCTTTGGCTTGTGCCGGTCTCAAGAGTACAGTTATTGTAGTAGCAGTTTCATTGAGAGATGCATCGACTCCTTCATAGTCCGGTAAAGTGGGAGCTGATTAGTGTTGAGTAGGAAGGAAAAGAACGAGAAACAAATCAGTGAAAACATTTTGAATTTTCATGAGATTGTGGCTGTTTGCAATATAGTACAAAGCCACAATCAGCTACCTGAGCCTTTTTTAATGATTTTCTAGTCAGGCGCAATCTTTTACTAGAGCATAAACGAGACTTCATCAACAACTGATAACCCCATCCCTAACTGCTCCCCATCAAATCGTTATACCAATCTAGTTTATTCAAGAAAGGTAGAAATAGAGGGAGGAGGTGACTGCCAAGAAATGCTAAGACTACAAAATGCCATTTTGGCCTTGCTCTTTCTACCTTACAAACAACTATATTCACAATCTTGAAGACCCACCTCTACCACCTCTCTTTTTCCACCTCCAACAATTTAGGAGCCTTTCACATTTCCTCTTAAACGTCATGGGAGACCACGCCAATACCAACCAGGCTGCAGAAAAATTGGGCTTGGACAGACATGCATCCGTGGATTAGAACTAGATGGGGGAGTCTATCGCCGTGCCCATTTCTCCTTCTATTTCTAACAGTGGATGGCCAAGCTGTTCATGGATCAGCTTCTGAATCACTGCAGTTTTCAGCCCAGGGTATTAAGAAAAAACAAAGTCAAAACTAGAAGCAGTTCAGGAGCTGATTCACTAATGGACTGGCTGCTAGGCCTTTGTGGCAGTAATATTTGTTGTGGCTTGGTTGGCTGGTGTTCGTGATCACTTCAACCACCCGACTTTAATCTTCCGCACAAACCTGTCGCAGCCCTCACTGGTAATACTGTTGCTGACTTCAGCTGTAGTGCAAGGAAAGAAACAGGATTTTCTGTGATTCAGAAAATAATAGATGTCTATTAATTAGTAATCTTTAACAAGCTTGAAAACTATCTGCTGTGCCTTTATAAAATTGTTCATGATGCCTGTATGATGAACTTTCACAAAAAAGATGTTTCTTAGCAGGATGTCAATCATTTAAGTCATAATAATTTTTGCAATAATATATCAATAGATAGAAGAGCACTGAAAGATTAAAAACCTTGCTTCATTAGTCCCAGATCCTAGATGAACACAAAAATTGCTCTTATTTCATGAAATATTTTATAGAAATAATGCTCATTTAACGTTCATTTATAAATTACTATTTACATCATATTCACTAGGATCATGGCAACCACTTGTAAGCTTGGTTAAAAGGAATAATTTCACTCCTCATTAAGATGAAGCTAGCATTTCCAGAAACATATGCATTGCTTCATAAAAAGCATCAGTTATGTAGAGTGAAACCAGACAACAGTTCAGCATAAAGCAAGATGAAAAAAAACAGATTGAAATTCAGATACAAAGGGTGTCACAGCCTGCCTAGTATTAACCATGTTTTGCCAACTAACAGACCCATACTGTGTCTAGAAAGTGGATTCTGGACAGAATTCCCAAAATTTCTGGGTGGAAAAAGAGTGCACATCTGAAGCAGCCTGAACACACTGTAGTCCTAAATAATCCAAACATGTTGAGGTCCTTATTTCTCAAAATACTGAAACATCTCGGGGACAGACATGCTAGCAAGATATTACATAGTTACACCTTTGGTTTTTTTTTCTCCTACAAAGAGAAGACAAGTATGCAAGTACTACACCACCATTATCCCTGAAAATTTGTGAACTAGAATTTGTTATGGAGAAACACAAGGACCTTAAAAGAACCGGAGAAAAATGTTAGACTTCAAAACAACCTAATAGCTAGATAAACAGAACAGAACATGTCACTTGGGTTTTTTTGGTGGTTTGACTGGTTGGGTTTTTTTGAAGGGGCTGGGGTATAAGGAGTGCTAGTACTTATGTGCTGGGACGGAATTCAACAAATTGTTGCAGTTAACTGTGACTACAGCATTTCACTTGCTATATAATTCAAGGAGATCTGCCTTGAATTTTCTCACATTTTGAATTATGTGCATGTTTTTGGGAACTGGGTGAGGAGACCACCTGAGTAGTTTCCCAAAGAAATGATAGGTGCATTCCAATACATTATTAACCTCCCTTTACAGGACAATATAAGTTTCATTATGGCAGATAAGGAAAATAGCCTGCTTTGTGCTGTTTACATTTCTAACTGACTGACTTTGATCTCTGCCAAGCTCTGAAGTCGCCATGTCATAAAAGCAACAGTCTCTCTAGATTTAGCACTGACTTATCTTCTGCTATCACCTGCATAAGCTACTATCTTATTTTTTGAGAATACTGAAATTTAAGAAAATAAAAATACTAAAGCATTCTATTTGACGTTACTTTCTTCCACAGTTTGCAGTGCATTATTAAGATGAATAGTATCAATCTTGGTGCATTGCAGTAAGTGAATAAAGGCACGAGGAAGCAGACCTATATGAATCTGACAAAAGAAATGCGCACTTCCTCCCAACCGCCCCAACTCTGTTATAGCTGTGTGCTGCTAAGTGGTGTCACCTTGAGTAAGTCAGTTAATTTTCTGCATCTGACTTTACTAATCTGCAAAACAAATATAGTACTTAGTGACCTATGGAGTGCTAAAAGGCTTAATTAGTTAAGGTTTATACAGCACTTCAAAATCTTTAGATGAAAGTACAAGATTACACAAAATCAAACAGTTGACAACTACTGGTGTGCAATTTCTAACTCATGCAAGGATTTATCCCTGAACTTATGCTACTGTTTGGCAAATATGCTCAAAAACATTTTCAGTAATAGAGCTTCACAATATGATAGGATTTGGGGGGTGTGTGTTTCTTTCACATTTCCTGATTTTTCAAGTCTTACAAAAAATGACCCCCAAAACCTTATAAAACCACACACTTTTTGTTTTTACCTGAGATGTTGGTTGTTACATTGATTGTGGTTGCCGGTCCAAACCCTTTCACGGTGCTTGCACGTATAAAGAACTGGTAAGTAGTACCGGGATGCAAGTGTGAGAAGACGTGGTGTGTGCTGTTCCACAGCTTTGACACGGTTTGCGGAGGTCCTGCGACTGGAACTGCAGGATCAAACGACCGTATACTGCTATAGCTGACCTGTGAAAACAATTATTTTTGTAACAATTGTTACAGTTTTTGGCACAAGGGGATTAGGTTAGCTCGGCTGGAAAGGAAACAAAAGACATGCTCATCTAACTACCCAGCTAGCTTGGGGATACCGTGAGGACTTGATGTGTATTATTGTAGAGTCTGCTTCACTTGAAAGGCTATGCAGGTGCCCTTCATCTCTCTTTCTTTGTGATTTTAGTTTGTGTATGGAAAATTTCACTGTTACATTTAAGTTAGGACACCCCCACCATCCTCCCCATCTCCACCAAACCCCTTTATTTTTCACTTCCTGCAATACATTTCCCTCTCCTCTTCTAATAATCATATTTAAATGCTGTCCAAACCAAGCTAATATATTTAAAGCCAGCAATGATATCTTAATGTACTGGTTTTGACTAGGATGGAGTTAGTTTTCTTCATAGCAGCTCATATGGTGCTGTATTTTGGATTTGTGATTAAAACACAAAAGCTTGCACTTTTGCCCTTCCGATTCTCCCCCCATCCCACTGCAGGGGAGTGAGTGACCGGCTGAGTGGGGCTGAGCTGCCCACCACGGTTAACCCACACTATTTAAAGAACTTTGTTAGCATTAAATAGATAAACAAACACATTTAAGGGGTTTTGTTTGGTTAGTTGGTTTGTCTTCCTCCTATAATTCACTAGTACCCAAAATTATATCCTCTGATCCTTTAAAAAAGGAGTGCTGGACAGGATGGTGTTTGTTCCTCAAATCAGCTCGTGTTTCCTGCCAACCTCCTGCGGAGGTCCCCAGAAGGCTCATTTATTTAATACACTTTAAATAGAATATATACGGAGGTTTCCTTGAAAGGTGATACCTAAAGATCTGACAAAGCTAAAAAACATTGCTCTAAATTTAATAACCACCTTACTTTTCATGTAACCTTCTCTTCCAACAAAGAAGATTCCGCAGATCATGGCTGTCATGGCTTTGGAAGGATGCACAGTAATGATACAAGATTTTTAAAACTAGCACCTGCATTGTAATATTGTTATACTCACATGCCAAAGCCACTTGACAGGGCCTGCCAGCCAACAACATATGAACCATAATTATGATTTTTCAATATCTAATCACTACACAAAATCCAGTATTCTGCAAATGAAAGCAGCATATAATTGAATAGCTGCCTACAGAGCATAAACACCCACCGTCAGCCACCCCTCTTGCTGCACTTTCCTAGCCCTATCCTATGCTTGTTAGCTGTTTAATGATTACCTCATACTGAGTAATGATGCCATTTGGATCCACAGGTTCCTTCCAGTTGAGGAAGATCTTATCTTCAAAAGGAGTTCCTTTCACCGACTTGGCAGGTATAGGGCCTGGCACTACAAACAAAATAAGACTTTTAAAAATAGGAAATTCAAGAGACAGACAAATTAAAGAGATGACAGAACATCCTATTAAAGCCAAAAGTGAGCATGGCTCTATTTTTATTAATATTCATTCACATGCAAAAGGCAGTGGTAGAGAGTACGAAAAAACACTTCAAAGTGTATTTTGTCATTCGCAGTGCAGAGAGAGCATGAAGTTGAAACGTTATCCCCACATACGGTTTTCAAAACTTCATGCAAAGTCAAATTGTCTCGTAGTATAGCCAGGGGAAACAGTTCAAGCTAGATTACGACTTCAGGGAACATCACTGAACTCTGTAATAAGCGTATCTTAGGACAAGGACTACATGGTTTTAAAATCCTTTTAAAAAGAAAAATCAAAGGCAAGGAAAAGCCTATGTCATACCCCATCTTCCAAACGAGAGGAATGCTTACAAAATAGTTTTCAGTCACCCCTTCTTACGATTTGTTGTTTTAACAGAAATCCTTGTTTAAAGAGGGGGCTAGGCACAGGGCAAACACGCCAGCTCAGCTGCCACTTCTTTCAGCCACTGACACGCTCGTGCTGCAGAAGGATCAAAACTGCTTACTTCAAATCTTTCCAATAAGAGACATTTTCAAAGCTTTGAACTGAACCACACTAAGATGACCCTACTTTCTTATTTTAAATGGAACCAATATCCCTGGTGTAATAACAAGTCTGAAGTGTCACCTCAGGCCTCTTCGCCTGAGTGATTCACAGTACCTGGTAATCCCATCAACACCAGGCGGGAGCACTTAGTTATCTCCCATTTCAGCTTACAAGATATTTTTGCCTACACGTACGGTTCCTTTTTAACCACAGCAGCTCACCTGATTTGAACACATACATGCTGAAAGAAGGGGATGAGGATAAGAGAATGCCTGAAGAAACCCTGAACCCAGAGAAACACCCTCCTCCCTCAAAAAGCCAAAGTTGCCCAAATCCGCAGTCTTTCAAGCTAAAATGTTACTTCTACTTAGTATATTGACATATATTTCTCTCCCCTTCTTAATCAGCCTATTTTCGTCAATGCAACTTTCAGTAAGCCTCACGCATGACATTTCTCGGGTATTAAATTATCAAAGCACACTGAGGTTTTACAAAGAGTAAAAATAAATTAAAACCCGCTGGATCAAAGGAAGCGCCAGGCACTGTGCTAGCAGCACCAAGGAGTGAGTGGTCTGTCTCAATAGTAGGATTTATTTATATGGAAGCTATAAACGATGATCTGACCCTTGGTACAAACAACATCATTTGGCACATTAATAATAAATTCATGGAGTCAAAAAAGCCTACAAGTAAACAGATGAGAGCTTCACAGAAACCGTTCATCCATCTGTCAAGCAAAGGCTTAGGAGAAGTTAACTAAAATCATACGCTGCTGCTTTGCTTCAGTGTCCCGATGCAGACTGGGCAGTGGATGAAGGCTGACACGTCATGACAGCCCCTGTGTGCTCTTCGTGGCATTCAGAGACTTGCTGTAGGCACTGCTTTGTTTTTCATGGGAATGCTCTATTGTTTTTCTTCTCTACATCTCAAATGAAGTACGAACATAACCTGATGCACACAACACCTTCCCTGGAAGATGCGTGCACGCGTGTGTGTGCGCATGTACATCTGTGTTTGGGAGAGCACGTAGGAATGCACCGGGGCACGCACACAGTTTATGAAATTTGACATTAAAGCATGTTAAAGCACGCGAGGTAAAAAGAAAACAGACACAATTGCTCAAAACCCTGCAAAATACTTTTTGCGTGGTGCTTTTAAAGAACATGATTCATATTCAATTGAAACTGGATATAGGACTCTCAGTTTTAGGGTTGCATAAAGCCTCCTACATTTTCTGTTTAAACACCCAAGTGGGAGAAGCCTCCAGGCTCGTCATGTCGCATGACTGTATTTTCTTCTCCTGCAATATAAAATTTGCTGCTTGTGGCAACAGCAGCAATGTTAAACTGTCTAGAACTACATGATCCCAGTTAGTTTCATGCTTCTTTTCCCACTGGCACGAGAAGGGCACAAGAACACAAGCTAGCACAGTGATGAGCAGCTTGCTGGGAATCCAAGTAAAAATAAGGTCAGAACGTAAGAGAGAGCAAAAGTGTCTAGAAAAAGAGAACCTTAATTCCCACAAACCTCACCCACCCCTGCAAATTCACCAAAAATGAAGCTTGGGATCAGCTTAAATTATTCAAAAGCTCAACTGGAATTAAAACAAAGAAACAAATACAAGTTCAAACGCCTAGAAGAAGGAATATAAATTAATTTTAGTTTGAAGGACATGGTTTGGTGGGTCTGAAGTTCTTTCTTCCCTTCCATTTTTCCAGCTCAACCACAGTAAAAATGTCTTTTATTTGCACAGCTTTACCAAAGGGGCAAAGGGAAGTGTGGAAAGAGAAAAGCAGGAGCAGGAATTTGCTTAAAGAACAGAGTATCTGTGAGCAAGCCCATAGATTCATCGGTCAGGTTAGTCAAAATAATGCCTAAACTTCCACATCTGTGTTTTTATGTCTTTGTCCTCAGGTCAGTTATTAGTTACAAACAGAAATTTAAAAAAGGCTGAAAGTAGTGAAAAAACCCCCAAACAAGGAAACAAAAGATCAACAACAAAAGAACGACAGCAAGGTAACCTGTTGGTAACACTATTTTGAAGACTCAGACTACATCTTTCCAGGTAGGCAGCCATTGCTGTCTATTCCCTACGACTCCCAGCGGGACTCTAAGGACTTAAAAAAATACCTTAAACTTCACCTTTCCAAAGCAGTGTACAATATTTAGCAAGGACTCCGGCGAGAAACAGCCAGGTAAACATCACCCTTGTGCTGATAACAGCTTTCGGAAGCCTCCTCACAAACAGCCCAAAAGGCTTTCTTCAGGCTTGCGTGTGCATCTCCAGAAGCCCCACCGCTCACCACAGCACCTCTTCGCTGCCTTCTCAACTCCCATTCTTCTTCCTACGTGAGCCCTCGCTCTTCCCCTTGGACTTACGGATAGTCTACACTAAATCAAAACACTCGAGACTATTACAAGTGTACATTAAGGTGAAGTACGTTACTTAAGATTCCCTATCAATGGCCAGGTATCTGAATAATTCAAAAAGTCTAAGTAGCTGCTCGAGGAGTTGGACTCGGACCTTTTGGCCTCCGCACCCTCTCTTTAAAAAGATTCTGGTCCCATTTTCTTTCCATCTGCTGACCTTGTGAAGTGTTACCCCACCATCTCTCAGTGACAACAGTAAACACTCTCACATGCATTATTCTATGCTAAACTTCCAACAAGTCAAGATTTACACTTATCTTAAGAAGTGAAATCATTCAGGTGGGTTTAATTGTATGGGTTTCAGAAGAGATTTTGAACTTAAACAAAAAAAATATTATTTTTCCTATAAGAAAGTATACAAACATAAAATGCACGTGTATATAAAAGTAACATAAAACAAATTCAAAGGGAATTTCAGCAAGGTTTTATAGTGGGAACATCACAAGCTCCTCTTTCATGATTTACATGCATTTCCAGAGCCCTTCTAATGAAGCTATATATTCGTATAGTGAACAGCTGATAATCTTTTCTTCTATATACCTGTGGGATGGTGGACTTCTATAAATACTATGCATAATAAAAGTACAAACCATCAATCTGACATCAGATCAATTCATTTTAGAGCAATATATTTGCATTAAATTATGTCACAGTCACAAACAAATTGTTATTCACAAATAGTGTCACTTAAACCTTGTTCTACACTAACTTAATGGGAAATTTATATTATAATACATTACTTCTGAAAGAACAACGTATTAACTGACACCAACCACTATAAAAATGAATTTATATTGCTTCAGTTTTCCCACTACAAAATAATGAAAGTGCATGTAAACAGTATTTTTATTATTATTATACTCTGTGAAAGCTATGCAGAGTATTATTATGCTATATGGTAAAGGCTATGTGCAGATATATACACGGTTATAGTGGGAAAAATTTCTTTGTGGTACTCAAAAAGTGAAGTGTATCAGCAACAAACAGCCTTTCTCTGAAGGTAGATGCTCATTTTCAGGAGGTGGTGACAGTCAATCTCTTCTACTGTTTAAATGTTGCAAGCAATTAAAATGGCCCACATTTCCATTTGCTTTTTCTGAGGGATTTACCATTTTAACTTTATGCTTTGTTAAAACTTGAGACTAAGGCTTAAATAGAAGCAAATTTTATATAATAAAAAGGAAAAAAAAAAACAACCCAGAATCGCTATTATTAGTCTTTACCGTAGGGTATTTACACCAAAGGCGGTGACAAAAAATGACTTATTTGGAAATCGCTCAAGCTGCACCATTTGCAGTGAAGAAGAAAATGCTATTGAGTGCTATTGAGAAGAAAACTGACTGCATATTAATAGTCTCCTTCGGTGCACATGCTCTTTGGTTAATGATCTCTCCTCCTGGAGGAGCAGGGCTGGTGCAGGTGCCCTGGGAGGTGGCAGGGGTGCTGCCCTCCCCGGGCAGCGGGGGGGGCACTGGGCCGCGCTCCCCGGGACTTGGCGAAAGCCCACAGCCCTGCACAGGTCTGCGTCACCCACCCGGGGCCACTGCTGGACTGCGTGGGCACTGACCCGCTCACGCCAGGGACAACTCCCCGTACCTTCCAGCCTATATAAAACTACTAACACAACAAATATAAATGCTTACAATCAAGCTACTAACCAAGCTGACAGAGGCCAATCAGTCTCAGCGGCGGCGGCACTCGCCATAGATATTGGTGCAAATATCAAACGGGGTGAAATCCCCGAGTTGTGGATTTGCTGAATTTGGGGGCTCAGGCACCTAACACAGTATTTTGTTTAAAGCCTTTTTACGCCAAATGCTGACTTCAGTACTCCTCACGTCTGGGACTTGGAAACGTTTCTCCACGTCGGGGTGAAATAACCTCACATACTCACACCCCTTACAACTTTCTAAAAACATGCAAATCAATATTC